AAATTCTAAAAGAAAAAATAAACTTAATAATTATAATGAAAAATAATGTATAAAATATCAAGTTTTTGTTTTAATAAACTATTGATACCACCTTGCATAAATTAAGGTTATTAAATTATGTATATATTCGACCATTTTTTTTTTTTAGATATAATCTAAAATATACATTAACCAATGACAATGTCATAATATTTTCAAAGATCTTAATATATTTAATTTATGTAAATTTAGAAAATAGGTTTCAATGTGAATTGCATTCTCTTCTGGAGGTCCGAAAACATTGCTTTCTAAGTACATAATTCATTTTATACATCAAGAAATTTAAAAATTATTTTTTATTTTTAAGGCTTTTTTATTTTACAGAGAATTTTTGACATTTATAGTGCATTTTTATGTTATTATGTCATTTTTGTACAAGAACGGATAACAATTTATTAAAAGTTCCATTCTAAAGAAATAAAATAAAATATTATTTATTTTGTCTCGTTGTATTTGGTTTTATAATTTATTATGTTTTTACTGATACAATTTTCAGGGGGAAATTAAKTTAATTAAATCATACGAATAATTATTAAGAATAAGAATTTATATAATATTTAATGACAAAAAATTTGTTTTTAATTCTGTTATGAGTATTGAGTGCATTAATTACTTTTAGGATATTTTTCATGTTTTTAGATCATTTAAATCCATTTACTAAATATAGTTTAAAATATATAATACATATAAATGTATATATCAAATAYACAATAAAATATATTAACATAGAATTAAATAAGACATATACATACTTGTGGTGTCAATTCAGGTATTTGTAATGAATAAGCAATTACTGACAATAGATCCATTATATGAGAATGAAGAACAACTTTAAACACACACTCCGCCAAACACAACTCTGCAATCGCAACTTTTAATTCAATTGAATCACTTGTTAAACTTTTATAGTATGATAGTAAATCTAGACAAAAATAAAAAGAATTATTTAAAAATATGATTTTGGCAAAGAAACTAAATTAAATTTTCTAAATTAATTTTTCTTAATGAAACAAATATATGTATAATAATTTTAAACAAACTTGGATACAACAAGTTTAATTTATTACATTTTAGAATTTAAACGTAAAAGAGTAAGTAAAATAACAAATTTACACAGTAAACTATTATGTTGAAAAATATAACAATATTTAAATCAAGACTATTAAAGTATTKAATTACTATTATCTATACAAAGTAATTAAATATATATAAAGTGTGTCAATCTTCAAAAATTACTAAAAATTACCAATGAATATTTAAGCTAAATGACATTGGTTTAAAATAGGATATTTAGGAGATAAAAGAGAGTACCAAAACAAATATTTAGCAATAATTCAAAATTAATAACCCTTTTGTTACGATTGTGTGTGATGTAATTTACTATTTTATAAATTCTAATGCCAATTTTTCTCTACAAATTTGATGCACATTTTTAAAAGTTTTTTTTTCTAATTAAATATTAAACAAAGTTAAAGAAGTTTGAAATTCACAAATAATCTAGCTAATTATACGTTTTCATACACTACTCTAATTTCACTTGTAAAATA